TTTTTTTTTTTTTTTTTTTTTTTTTTTTTTTCTTTTACATATAATTCTATATTTTGAATTAATGATATATTTAATATTTTGGTATTTTGTATTTTTTTTAATGATTATTTTATTTTAATTTTTAATTATTTTTATTAAAATATGAATACGTTTTTATTTATTAATAAAATATTATATTAATTTCAACAATGATGTATAACAATATATCAAATATCTAAAAAAAAAAAAAAAAAAAAAAAAAAAAAAGTATTAAAGAACACATTTATATAAAATTGAGATAAATATTAAAAAAAGAGCTTCTTAAAAAATGTATTAAAATATAGAAATATGCAATATATATATATATATATATATATATATGTATATATATGTGTATAAAAAANNNNAAAAAAAAAAAAAAAAAATGAATTTATGAAAAAAATATAACTAGAAAAATTCTTTGTTAAATATTTTTATGAATTAAATAAGAGTAATTAGAAATATTAAAAAAAAAAAAAAAAACAAACTACAAAATCTTAAAACATATTTTTTCAAATTTTATATATTAAACATATTTGGATGTTATATTAAAAATTAATAAATTTGTTTTCCCTTCGTATCTTTCTGCCTGTATATTAAATTCTTTTTCTGTATTTTATTTTTTTTTTATATGCTTAATGATATTTTTTAAAATTTATAAAAAAAAAAAGAAAAAAGTGATTACACTTTCATTTTAATATTTTATTTTTTTTTTTTATTCATACTTCTTAAAAAAAAAAAAAAAAAAAATTATATATGTTTTAACGAATCTTGTTTCAAATCAAAATGTTTTTTTCTGTTAAATTTTTTTTTTTTTTTCAAATCATATTTGAAAAAAAGCAAAACATATGCATACTTCAGCTTACATTTGCTATTGTATATTTTTATATTCATTCAAAAATATAAAGAAAACAAATTTAAATTTAAATTTAAATAAATTTTGTGTTACTTTAAAAATTTTAAAAAATTAAATTATAAACAAATGTTTTCACTTTTCCAAGAAAAAAGAAAAGAAAAATATTTTTAGTACTTGTAATAATGAAAACGAAAAATTAATAAAAAAAAAAAAAATTTCATTTATATTATTGAAAAAATTTAAATAATAAAATAAAAAATAAATATATATAATAAAATAAACGTATAAAAAAAAAAAAAAAAAAAAAAAAAAAAAAAAAAAAAAAAAAAAAAAAAAAAAAAAAAAAAAAAAAAAGTATACAATAAGATTAAATATAATTAAATATATATTATAATTAAATGATTAGATGAAAAAATAAAATATAATAAAATAATAAATCAAAACAAAATAATATAAAATAAAATGATATGGATATAAAAAAAAAAAAAAAAACGAAACAAAACGAATATAAACATAAAATAAACATAAAATAAACATAAAATAAACAAAATTAAACAAAAATAAAAAAACAGAATGCTAATATTTTATTTCATTCCTATTCATTTTTTTTTTTTTTTTAAAATAAAATAGAACATTAAAGTTGAATTTTATTTCATTTTTTAATAAAATGAAAGTCATCTTTTTTTTTTTTTTTTATTCATTTTTGAATACTTATAAAATATATGATTAAAAGTCAATTTTTTTTATAAAACATGAAGTATAAATAAAAGAAAAATCAAGAAAAAGAAAAATTCATTATAGAAAGTCTCATATTTCTTTAAAATAAAAAAAAAAAAAAAGTGAACAATGAGAAAACTTTTTTATTTTTATCTATAAAGAATAATGTAATATCAATTTAAATAAATGCATATGTGTAAATTTTTTTTTTATTACATGAAATCTGATATATATAAATACATATAATTAATTATGAATAAAAAATTTTATATTAAATGTTGTAATTTATGCAATTTTATTTTTTAATAATTATGTGATTTCAGAAAAACATAACTATAAATTTGTTTTAAAACATGAAAAAATAAAAAATATATTTATTTATAAAAATAATTTATATTTATGCATAAATGTTTTTAACAATTGGTTTCATTTCAATTTATTTTTGAACACAACAAAAAAAAAAAAAAAAAAAAAAAATTTAAGTATATGGTTTTTTTCTATACATATATATATATATTTATTTTTTAAATTCAGTTTTATTTTTTTATTTTTAATGTGTTAAAGAAATAAAAATAAAAAAATGTAAAAACAAATTTTTGATATCATATGCCATAATTTAACAAAAAGTTATAATTTTTTATTAATTATAACAATATATATTTTCTTATATATATATATATATATTTAATTGTTACTATTTTTTTTTTTTTTTTTTTAATTTTTATTTGATAAAGTAAGAATTGTTGTAAGATATTACTTCAATAAACCTCTTTTTTTTTTTTTTTT